CACAAAAGTGATGGCAGAAAACTTCCCAAGCAGGGGAAAAGAACTTGACATACAGATAAGTGAGGCATATAGGACTCCAACTAGCCTTGATCAAAACCAGAAATTAATCATTTTATTACCCCTGATAAAATCATAGATTCAAGTGACAATCACCTATGAGTGAAACCATTGGTTCAGTGATGGAGGGGAAAGTCTGTGATGAATACACCAGACTATGACCGCTAAATAAACAGATAAAGTTTGGAGTCTCTAAAAGCAGGTCATTGTATGCCTCCTGATGCACTGCAATATGGAGCATATAGCAGGACCTGTGAAAAAATTTTGAAACAGAGTCTTACAAAGCTCTCTCCACCTCACTTCTCCCACTGCTTTGCTTTCCTATTCCTCCCATCACAGTACTACAGATTGAAGCCAGGGCCTTCACACTGACTTACATTCTCAGACCTTTTTAATTTTTATTTTGGGACAGGGTCTCACTAAGTTACTTAATGTGAGGGAGGACTCAAACTTGTAGTCCTCCTGTTCCAGCCTTCCAGAGTGCTAGGATTAAGGCATGTGCCACTACTCCTGGCTAACCACTTTTGAACCTTTCTCTTTTTTAAAGGTATTTAATGTGGAATGTTAGAGATAGGAAAGGGGTAAGAGAGATTAGGTTACTATTTCCCTCATTGCCAGTGGTGAAAATTGCACTCACAAAGTATATAGGATGAAACCTTGAATCATTCATGTGTCTAGGCAGGGTGATTTCTGAATGCAGGCAGAAAAATATGTCTTTAAGAGTGAGAAAAGTTCAGTCTCAATAAATTTATTCAGAGTTTTACCTTCAGAAAATTCTGGATAGAAGCATTTTTTTTTTTTGGTACCAGGGATCAAACTCGGATCCTTGTGCTTGCGGGGCAGGTGGTGGAACCACTGGGCTAAATCCCCCGGCCCTAATAGAAGCAATTTTAATTTTAGTGTATATTTAGGTTTGTTCTCTTTAGATGAGTCTCTTTTAAAATTACATATGTATGCCGGAGATTTAGCTAAGTGGTTCCACCACCTGCCTCACAAGCGCAAGGTCCCGAGTTCAATCCCCAGTACCAAAAAATAAATAAATAAAATTACATATGTAGGCAGGTATGATAGCTTTCTGTCAGTATGAGAGAACTTCTGAGAAAATCAACTTAAGGGAGGAAAGATTTATTTTGGCTGAGTTTCAAAGGTTTTGGTCCAGGGCCGGGGATTTAGCTCAATGGTTTCACCACCGGCTGCACAAGCTCAAGGACCTGAGTTCAATCCCTGGTACCAAAAAAAAAAATCATGGACCAAAACCTTTGTTTTTTTTGTTTGGTACCAGGGATCAAATTCGGGTCCTTGCACTTGTGCAGCAGGCAGCAAAACCACTGAGCTAAATCCTCAGCCCTAGCCCATGATTTTTTGACCCCATCACTATGGGCCAATGGCAGTGGTGGCAAACCTATGACATGCGTGTCACAGCCAACTGTTTGTTATCATTGCTAGCTCTAAAAGGTTCATCGTCACTGGCTATGGTGAGGCAGCTCATCATGGCAGCAAACACATGGTACACCAGAGCTGCTTACCTCATAGTAGGCAGGAAAGCAAGAATGACCAAGGAAGGGGCCAGGCCCCATGTATCCTTCACGGCACATCTCCAGTGATGTACTTTCTCCGACTAGGTCCTGCCTCCTAAAGCTTCCACCACCTCTCATAATTCCAGCTACTGGGAGCCAAGCCTTCAACCCATGAGCTTCTGGGGGACATTGAAGATTGAAACCATAGTAGTAGAAGCAAGTGTATAGTCGATTTATTGCTTCACAGCCTTATTTGAACCTGTTTCTAAGAGTCTATTATATAATAATAACTCTACTTAATAATACTATGGAATTTTCCAAATGTATAGAAAAAACTATAATGAATCTTCATGTACCTATCACCCCACTTTAACAATTATTAACATTGCCGATCTTGTTTAAGCAACCACTTAGCACTTGTTTTTGTTTTTGTTTCTCATTTGTTTGTGGGGGTTTTGTTTGTTTATCTTGAGACAGGTTCATGTTAAGTTGCCCACGCTGGGCTTTTAATTCATAATTCTCTTGCCCCAGACTTCCAGAATGTTAGGATTACAGGTATCCACCACCACACACTGAGCTCCTTAGCACTCTTTTTTCCCTTACAGTAAATCCCAGAGTTCATGTCATAGTTGTTTAATCATATATATTTTGTCACACAATTTAAATTGATATTTGAAAAAGCCAGAATTTACCGAATCTTATTGTTGTTCAGCCTCAGAAAATGTAGTGCTTTCATTTCTTGTATCCCAGGTGGTACACATTTTAAGCTATTGTGATCTAGAAATAACTCTCTGAGAGAATGATATGCCCCATAGAATGAAACTTGGTCCACGCCATCATCGGAGAGTTTGTTAAATGACAGGTACAGGTATTCCAGGCCTGGATCCAAATGGCCAAACACATAGCCTGGGATCAGTTCGATCTGGTTCCCCATGAGCACAAGGTGCAGCAGAGACTTGGGGAGGTAGGAGGGGACGCGGTAGAGCTTGTTGTAGGAGAGATCGATCGATTCTAGGTTTCTGCAGCAAAGAAAAAGTGAACATAGTAGGGAACTAACCTCAGGGTAGTGACTGGAAGCTCTGAATTTTGACAAGGTCAGTTGTGGTACTGGTCTTTCAGCCCCACATTGCAGTAATAATTCTAAACATGAACTTGACTGTGTGCTGGCCTGGGTCTGGCTAGCTCCAAGGCTCATGTTCTTATCAGCACCATGCTGCCTCCCAGCTAAGGGTTTGCATCAGAGAAGCACACCAGAGTGCAGGAGGGAAGACCCAGGTCCCTGGGGTAATGGGGAAGTCACAGTGACAGAAAGATGTTCTCCAAATATTTCTATGGTCAAACTGTGGAATCAGAAATGAAATCCATGGGTCTCTGGTTCTATCAAGGAAGTTTTTTCCTCTGTTTTTGTTGTTTTTGTTTTGGAGTTTTCTGCAAGTTTTACTTTTCTCCCACATTTTCATTCCACATTAGATTTAATGATCTGGTACACTTGTGATTTGGGGTGAGACTAAGGGATCTAGAAGTTGTTATCAGCCAGAGGATCCCAGGAATGTGGTGAGCTCCCTGGCTGGTTTCAGGAGTTTCCCCTGAAATGCCTGATGAAAACTTTACCACTCACAGTTAGCCTCCTTTTCATCTCTCCCCAGATTATGTCATTCTGGGATACACAGCATATGTCCGGATTATGTCCATCAGTTGACATACGGCCAAGTGCTTGCTTTCAACTCCTTTTCCTTCACTGAGGGGTGCAGCAAGCCTGCTGCTTCCCATCTAGGACAATGGGTCCTACTTTCTGCCTCCACTGTCAGGCCCAATCTTTTACAATCTATTTTGTAACACTTGAAATGGAGAAATAGTTTGGACAACAGAGGGCAGTGGTATGGGAGGACAGGCCTGGCCTTTGAAGCCTGTTTTTCCTAATGTTGATGAGGAACAGGGTGGCACATTTCTTCCTCACTGTATGTGGGGTATTATTCCATGTAAGCTTCCTGACAGCCTGTGAGGCAGGCAGAACTCAAGCAGCATTTGAGGTTGTGATCCAGCCTCAGTTCTTGCTAGCTCAGTCATGTAGTAGGGTGCCCCCTAGGCAGTAGTGATCCTAACACTGCGTAACAGATAGTTTGGAAACTCCATGAAGTGGCCAAGTTTGGGTAGGGCAAGGGTTCTCTAATTATGGCAAGAAAGTTAAATAGCAGCATATACTTACTTTTGATTTATCCAGGCTAAAGGAGCAATTCTGTTTTCTTCTATTTTATTATAACGTAGTACAATCACATTGATCTTTTTGGTATGATTGAAACAAATTTCAGTTATTTCTTCAATTTGGTTATTTTCTAGGTGTAATTCCTATAATTAAAAGAAAAGAGTATTATTTTTTACACTTGTCTTTGTTAATAAATATTTTTAATTTCACAGATACTAAAATTGTAATGAAGACTATTTTCATTAGTATTATAAAGACTTTTAAGTGAGTTCAGTTTTAAATTGTCATATTTTATAACTTATAAAATTATATGATTATGAAATTTAGTGGTTTTTATTTAGTTTTTAAAGAATAATATTTTGTAAGAGTCAGCGTACCATATACAATTTGCAAAATGTGGGATCTCATTTGGACTTTAAAAGTCTGGAAAGTAGGTAGAAATTACTATCTCCACTCACTGTTGAGTAACTCAGGCTCAGGGAAATCATGGTGCTAGCCCACAGTTCCAGGACTGATACATGAGTGGGGCTCTTCCTACCAGAGCCTTTACCTCCAGGCCAGCTTTCTACATTGTGTGAGGCCTGTAACATTTTTAGACTTACATGTATTTAATTAAGAGTTAATTGATTAATTGAGAGCCTTAATTTAGGATCACAAAGTTTACTAGAACTATTAGAAAGTTTTTACGAGCTAGTTGCCTTCCAGGTAAATTTAATTTGCATTAAAATGAATTTTTTCCTAGAGAATATGAATTATAAAATTCTGCTTATTCTGGTTAGAATCCAGAAATAGACTTAGTGTGTTCCTTCAGTGTAACTTTCCATTTCTGTTTTAGTAATTCTCCCCTTTGTTACTTAATTGTGGTATTTGTTAAAAATGGGTAAAGCAGTTTTCAGCTTTTTGCTTTTACTTTCATATATAATTAATAGATGAGCTAGATCAGTGGTTCCCAAATGTGGTTGTATGTTAGGATCATGAGCTTTTTAAAGAACAAATTCCAACATAAATGTATTGACAGTAAGGGACTAATTAAATAAGTCCTGGCGTACTTTTCCATGCCTAGACTACTGGCAGTCATAGAAAAGAATGATGTATAATGAGATGAGTACGGTATGCAGCAGTGAGTTTAGAAGGATTTATAACACACACCATGCACTTGTACACTGATGCACACAGCACTTCCTGGATTGGACAGAGAAGCGGGATAGGCAGTTCAGACATGGGGAGGGGCATGTGTTCTTTTGTATTGTCTAAGTTGTGTGTGTGTTTCATTGATGGTAAGCATTGTCTAATGATCTTTTTAAAAATTCTAAATTCTAGCTCTGCTCTCCAAAGAATCTGACTTAGCATGTCTGGGACTGGTTCAGACATCTGTATATCTTAGGAACCCAGGTGATTCTGATTAGCATGAGATCGTAATAGTTGACCTTTTTCTGATTGGCTGGGCCCACCATCAGGTAAAGCTCCATCCCGACTTCTGGTGGGATGATCTTGTAGTGTGGTAGAAGCAGAGCTAATATAAGGAAACCCGGATTCCAACTGGGTCTGTCAGTATAGACTCTGAACCTCAGTGTTCCTAATGCAAGAAATGCAGAGTGTTGACCCTCATTGGTCAAAGACTTCCTGAGCATCCCTTGCAGCAGGGAAACTACACTGCTGGGAACTGTTGGTGATAATGTAGAAGGATTAAAACAAAGATTGTGCTTTGGGCCTGGAGTTAGTCATAGGACAGGCTTGGTAGAACCTGGTCAAAATTTATAATCTACCAAGTTGCAGGAACAGGGAAGGCCTTCTGGTATAATACTTGCACCATCCATTGCTGTTTGATAAGAGTGTCTGTGATTTTACCTGAAACTTCTGAGTGGAGACAGGTGATACTGACAAAGATGGAGCTATTCTGCGTTGATCTTCATAGTTCTGGCCTGGGACAGTTTGAACTGTCTTAAGAGTTGGGTACATTTTAGAAGTTGTGGTTTCTGTTCAGATTCTTAATTTCTCTTTCCCACCCCCCACCCCAAGCTGTCAGCAGTAACATTTTTCACTTTATCAGGGGCATATAATGCTTATATTATAAAAAAATTCTGCATACAGCACCAAAACTCTACCTAGTTTAATAAACATTACCCTAGTCTTTAAGAGATATTGTTTGTTTTGTGGTAGTGTTTTTATCTAAAATATATTTAAAATATTAGAAGAAAGATATCAGTACCTCAATAGAAGCAGGAAGACCTTGTGGAATAATTCTAAATTTATTTTTTCCCAGGCGCAGGTAAGATAGGCTCTTCAAAGGTTTGAAAGCTAAAGGATTGACATTGGTTTCACTGAGATTGTTTCCTTCCAATTCTAAGGAGACCAACTGATTTAAGTCTATAAAAATAAAATTATAAGAATATTAGAACAATTGGAAAAACCATGCAATTTGAGCATGGGGTGTAGCTCAGTGGTAGAGTACTTGCCCAGCATGCATGAGGTCCTGGGTTTGATCCCTAGAACCACAAAAGAAAGGGGAAAAATAACCATACAGTTTTTATACACTGCATGTGAAAAAGTTCACTTTATTTGAAGGTGTATAGCTTCCTTATCTTTGTCCCTTCCCCACCCGATAGATCCTATTTCTAAATACTTTGCACATCTCAGACACATATTTCAACCAAGACAAAATGCACAATGCAAGGAAGACATCATTCAAGTGTTATAGTATACAAATATATGTAATTAACAGAAGCAAGAAGGAGGAGGGAGGAAGAGGGAGTATTACAGATATCTCTAGAGGCCATGCTGGCCAAGCAGGGATTTGGAATTGAGATGCGTATAGAGTAGGTTGTAAAAAGTCATTGGCAGCACGTTAGCAATGACAGGTTGGTATGGATTGGCAGCATGATAGGGATAGGTTGATGAGTAATTCCTTTTTCTAGGACACAGAAAGGAGCACTCTTTCCCTGGCAAATCCCAGTCTCTGAACAAAGGAGTTAGTAACAGCAGAGCAGTGAATTCTCTGTATAGTTATTCACTTATTGGCACAGAGTGCAGCCATATAGAAGTTTTGATCTTTTTTAAGATGATCAAAACCTCTAATCATTCAGACTGAGCTACCAAGAAAGTCCTTTATACAAACAAATTTTTTCACCTCTCCCACTAGCCCAGGAATGGTGTCATCCAGGTCATTTGGAAGCTTCGAAGTGAATCACTGACTACTCAACAGTAACATACCTAGGGGTGTCTGAGCTAAGATTCCCAAGTAAGCTATAATTTCTGCTTTGTCACAGGCAGTGCATACCATCCTCTGTGATACTTAGGCATTAGCAAAAACAGTCATATGAGAAGTAGAGATTATAAATGCTGGAAGATTAAAAGAGAAAGCAGTGTAGATTTCAGTGGTATGGAAGTGGTACCGTCTTAAGGATAGAAAGAATTACCTAGAAGTAAGAGGAACTTCCAGGTTGAAACAGTCAAGTGAGCACACACAGGTGAAGGGCTATGCTTGGGCTCACCTACCCACTGCCAGCCAACCCTACCCTATCATCCACAGCAGCAGGACTCAGGGCAGTCAGGGAGGCTCAGCAGCTGCCCCAGCCAAGGGAGCACCCAGCACTCATGGAAGCAGTACCACAGCAGGACTAAGAACCCAGCCTACCCAGGAAGTGGAGGGAAATTTTTTGGGCAGCAGAGAGCCTCCTTTCTGGCCACCTGCATGGGAATGAGGCTTCCTCAGTGCTTGAAATTTGGCAGTTAGGAGGGCAGGCAGACAGTTCACCTTGGACCACACATCAATACTCTGGGAATATAGAAGCATTTATGCATTTATGCATGAGCCATTCCAGGGATGTGTGAGACCACGTTCATTATAAAGAGCTTATGTTTTATAAGCTATCATTTTGATAACAAAAATATGAACTCACATATATTTCATATTAAGCTATTAGTGTACTTGTTCTATATTCTTTGTTCTCTTTAGTCTCTGTTTTGTTCTGGGGTTTTTTTGGTACCAGGGATCGAACTCAAGTCCTTGTGCTTGCGAGGCAGCCGGCGGAACCACTGAGCTAAATCCCCAGTCCTAGTCTCTGTTTAATAGAGCAGAAATGAAATTTTCCAGTGTCTTCTACATATGACCAAGGCCATCAAAATTTTTCATGTTTACCTTCAAATGCATTTGGGAATTGAGTATTTCCTAACTATGTAATACTCAGATTTGGCAATTTTTATAATGTACTGTTATCATCAGCAGAAGTGTTTTGTTCTTGTGAAGTTTCTTGGGAGCTAAAGGAAATAATCAGAATTGCTAGGTTTATCAACATTTATATAAAAATGTGTTTCAAATGAAGTTAACAAAAGCATATTGAGCAGTATATCTCATGAGCTCTGCTGTATAATTAGGAAGACAAAAGAAATGTGTAGGCAGTCTTTGTTTTAAGGAAATATACAATCTAATCAAAGGTGTTAGCCAGATTCTGTGAAGGGTAAAATGTGATCCAGCCTTTTTTATAGGGTTTCATTATGTACCCATCAGCTATCTCATGTGATCTAGAAACAAGCTTAGTTCTTGCAGGTTCAAATGCTTCTCAATAAAGCCTATCCTTCAAAAAGCCAGGCCGTGTCCACATCATGAAACGTGGAAGTAGCACAAATCCAGCACTGTCCCACACCCTCAAGAGCAGAGCTGCCAAAGTCAAGCTACTACCATGAGTACCATTGCCCTTTTTGAAGGACACCACCTGACAGCACTCATAGAACACCTGCCTATTTCTACTGTACACACAATTCTCATAAGGTTAGTTTTAGGTTGCAACACATAACAAATAAAAATAACATTATTATAGGCATAGCACAAATTGTAGATGGTGAGATGAAGGAACCCCCATCAGGAGACCACCAAGAGCCAACAACAGTACAGAGCACCAAATTCATGCCATTGTGGACAGTAGTACAGCTCTCCGGGTATTAGGGATTTGTAGGAGAGTTATTGTGTTGTACATGATGAAAACGTAGAATCATTGAAAGTTTTATTTAAGGTTAGTGTGCTTTTTAAAAGACAATAAGCAATGTAAAATGCATTTTTAAGTTTTACCAGTCAGTAAATTTTTATTAATTTAAATGGCTTTTGGCAGTACTATAAATCAGATTTCCAAATCACAACAGAAGAAAAATTCTAAGGAAACATGTCAGAAAAAAAATGTTAAATACCTGAAAAACTTTCTTCATCAATAGCCTGAAGATTATTTTCATTAATGTTGAGTTCTTCTAAGGTAGATGGTAATTCTGAAGGAATGTGTGTCAAATTATTTTCATCTATATTCAGACGCACCAACTTCTTCAGAAGCTTAAAAAGCAAATATTAAAATTACCATTTTTATGAGAAGACACATAAACAAGCCTCAAAACCAGACTTCCAGATCACCTAAACCAACCCCAAAAGGATATGAGATGGAACACTCTGATACTCAACCACCTGGACTCCCTGAACTAGCAACAAAAGAGGATCTGGATAAAATGAAATCAGAAATAATTTATCGGATTAACAGAGACTGTGCCCATAGTGCAAGACATGGTTAATCAATCTAGAGAGGACACAAATAAAAAAAATAGAAAAGCTGAGGAACATGATGGAGTCCCAACATAGGAAACAAATGGAATCCATAAAACAGATGCAAACAGATTTCCAGGAGATTAAAAACTCCATTGAAAGTGTACGCAGCAGAAGGAGCCAGTATAAGGACAGAATTTCAGATATAGAAGATAAGATTGCAAGTAGAACCCAGGAAAGGAAAACTTGCTTCAAAATTGTAAGGGACCACAAGAAATCAATCCAGCAGCTGCTAGATGATGCAAAGAATAACATGAGACTGATCAGAGTCAATGAAGAAACAGGAGAGAGTGCAGATGACATAAAAAAACTGTTCCCAGAAGTGATGGCAGAAAACTGCCCATGCAGGGGAAAAGAACTTGACATACAGATAAGTGAGGTATATAGGACTCCAACTACCCTTGATAAAAAAAAAATCTACACATAGGCATATAATTGTTAAGATTACACAAAGCCAACAGAAGAACAAAATTCTACAAGCAGTGAGAGAAAAGAAATCACATACAAAGGAAAGCCCATCAGAAACACAGCAGACTTCAGTGCAAACCCTCAAGGCAAGAAGAACTTGGAATGATGTATTTCAAGCCCTAAAGGAAAACAGCCTCCAACCCAGATTGATGTACCCTGCAAAACTATCTTTCAAAATTGATGGAGAAATAAGATACTTTCATGACAAAGAGCACCTTAGGAACTTCATGAATACCAAATCAGCACTCCAAAAAATTTTAGACAATATCCTAGGAAAAGAAAATGAGGATCACAACCACAGAAAACCCAGCAGAATGAATCCATCAGGCATGACAAGAAATTAAACGCAAAGGAGGAGAATCCAAAAGAAAGAGAAAGTCATGACAATGATAAGTCAATATGTATCAGTTATAACCATCAATGTTAATGGTCTCAATTCACCAATCAAAAGAAATAGACTCACAGAATGGGTCAAGAAGCAAGATCCAACAATATGCTGCATATAAGAAACACACTTATTTCAAAAAGAAACACATAGACTGAAAGTTAAAGGGTGGAAAACAATACTCCATGTGACAGGAACCCGAAATAAAAACAGGATTAGCTATCCTCTTTGCAAATCAAGTGGATTTCAAACCAACACTGATTAAGAGAGACAAGGAAGGACACTATATCCTTGTACAGGGAATAATCCAAGAGGAAGAGATTACAATCAAATATTTATGCACCAAACACTAGTGTGCCCAACTATATAAAACAAATATTAATGGACATGAAAAATCAAATAAGCACTAATACAGTAGTAGTGGGGGACCTCAATACCCCACTATCACAGATAGATCAACTAGACAAAAGTAAGCAATGAAATACTAGAACTCAATCAAACTCTTGAACAAATGAACTTCACAGATGTTTACAGAGGGTTCCACCCCACAAAATCAGAATACACATTCTTTTTAGCTGAACACGGGTGGTTCTCCAAAATAGACCACATACTGGCTCATAGAACATATTTAAGTAAGTGCAGAGGAATTGGAGTTATCCCCTGGTTATTATCAGACCATAGTGTGATTAAATTGTAGAACCAATAGCAAAAGAAACCACAAGAATTTCATAAACACCTGGATATTGAATAACACACTTCTGAATAACCAGTGGGTTGCAGAGGAAATGGAAAAAATAAGACACTTCCTTCAACTAAACAACAATGACAATACAACATATGGGACTCTATGGGACATAATGAAAGCAGTCTTATGAGGGAAATTCATAGCAGTGAATACTCATATTAGGAAAACAGAGCAAGCCCAATTAAACAACCTGATGCTGAACCTCAAGCTTCTAGAAAAAAGAGCAGGACACACCCAAAGCTCATACAAGGGAGGAAATTATAAAGATGAGAGCAGAAATCCATGCAATGGAGACTAAGAGAACAACACAAAACATCAATGAAGCCAAGAGTTGGTTCTTCAAAGGAATCAACAAAATTGACAAACCCTTAGCCAACCTTATCAGAAAAGGGAAAGAAAAGGCCAAAATCCAGGCAATTAGGAATGAAAAGGGTGAAATTACAATGCACCCAGCAGAAATCCAGAGGATCATCAATACCTACTTCCAGAACCTATACACCAATAAGGTGGAAAATACAGAAGAAATGGACAGATTCCTAGATACGTATGAATTACCAAATTTGAATGAAGACCTAAAAATTCTAAACAACCCAATATCAATGAAATTGAAAACATAATTAAAAACTTATCAACGAAGGAAAGCCTGGGTCCTGATGGCTTCACTGCTGAATTCTACAAGACATTTAGAGAGGAACTGCTGCCACTACTGTTTAAACTCTTCAAT